GGTAGAGGGACAGATGTGTGGTTGAGCTCTTCAGCCTTTGGTAAGGGCCTGTGGGGAGTTTAAGCCACGTGGTGGGGAAGTGAAAGATGGTGCCGTCTGCCTGACATGGACCCAGATGCTGCTGGAGAGTGGCAGGTGTGGGAATGGAGTTTGCTTCCATTTCCACATCCTGAGGCAAGCTGGGCTTCTGGAGGGGTTTGGCAAAAACTTCTGAAACAGAGCCTGTGGGGCAAGAGACCAGTGACCACACTGCAAGGTCTGGAGGTGGCAAGCAGGTCTAGACAAGGGGAAGGAGGGGAAAGGGAGTGTGAGAGCCTGGGCTTCCACTAGGAAGGTGCAGTGAGGTGGGGACTCGGGTCGGAATGGCCTACTGGGAGGATGAATGGATGGTAAGCAGTCTCTGCACACAGGCAGTGTCCTAGTCTAAGAAGTCAGAAGCTGAATAGGGCAACCAGGCACCTGTACTTGACTGGCAGGAAGAAATCCTGCAGGACTTTGTGTTTGAGGGGGTCGGAAGGCTCCTGTACTCTTGGTGGAGCTGAGCATTCCAGATCCCCTCTGGGGATGTTTTAGCACTGGTATTAAAGTGTCAAATGTACCCTTCTTCCTGAAAATTCCACTCTAAGGGACCTGAGAGTCTGGGTGGCTGCTCATGTAGCACTGTTTGAAGCTGTGGAAGGCCAGCGATGGCAAGTAACTGCCCTTCAATGAGGGGTGGCCAGAGAGCGGTGTGTGTGGTGGGCTTGCCTGGCGTGGGCGAGGCCCAGGTTCCATCCCACCACCACAGAAGATGGTATATAAACATAGTATATGCACACGCACTGGATTTCTATGCAAGTGTGTAAATGTTGGTGTAGGTTTCTGTTTCACCTGGAAAGCCAGCCTGGACTTAGACTTGAGTAAAATGTTCAGGTTGCAGAAGAACGTGTGGAACATGGTCCCCTTTATAATATTCACAACACCTCTTGAGCACGTGCCCTGTGCCCATCCACCCATGAAACATGTTCCATGTGTTATTGCTCAGAACACAGAGTTAGGTCTTATTATTATGGGCCTCACTTTAGACATAAGAAATGGAAGTTTAGGGAACATCAGTAATGTACCCACAGTGACAGAGAAAGAAAGGGCCAAAGAGAGATTCAGACACAACCCTGTCCTGACCCCAAGGAGAAGTGCCTCCCATACTCCAGGCCAAACACCCCTACTTCAAGAATCAAATGATGCTGGAAGAAGTTAAGTGGCTTCAGTATATTCCTCAAAAGCAAGCTGGAGTGCCCCCCCCCCTCCAAAGCAAAACAAAAGGCAGCTGCCACCTGCTGTTCCACTGTTACCAGGTGACCTTCAGGCTATTAGCGTTCAATAAACCCTGCAATTAAAAATGAGATCTACTGGGTGGCCACACCTGTAGTCCCAGCTGCCCTGAGGCTGAGGCAGGAAGATCAGAAGCCCAGGCTCAGCAACTTACCAAGACACTGTCTCAAAACTTAAAATAAAATAAGAACTGGGGATGTAGCTCACTGGTAGAGCTTCCCTGGGTTCAATATCCAGTACTCAAAATATATATTAAAAGTTTTTAAAATAGGAGCCAATAAAATCAGATTTCAGCTAAGTGACATTTCAATAGAAGTCATTTTTAGATTGTTTTGTGTATAAGTGAATGTGTTTCCATTTAGGAAAAACAAGAATGTTGGCAAATGATCAACAAGGTATATAGAAAAGCCATAAAAAGACAAGTTTCAAAAAAAAGAAAAATTATGTTGGACTGTAAGGGGCCTCCGGGAAATCTGAAAAACTGGAGTTGAGAGAAAAGGAGCAAAAATAACTAAAGGTAGAAAAAATCAGGCCTTTGAAAGAAAATCTGAAGAAATTGGAACTCAATAGCTGCAGTTGGCCCTGACAAAGCCTCAGTGTGTGACCTCTGGGTGTTACGGGGAGGATGGGGAACAAGTTCCATTTTGTACAAAGGCCTGAAGAAGGCAAAAAGGGGCCTAAATTGCCATGACAAAGCCTTCTTGGGAATTCCAAAGTGGCAGAGTGACCCATGCTAAGCAAACAACCAGAGGAGGTTGAAGGGGTCTCCTGAGAGTTCCGAGAGCAGAGCAGACTGGAGCAGGCCTGTTAGTCTTTACAGCCAGAACCTGCATCTGGTGCCAGACCTCTCAGCACTTTGATTCTCTGAGGCTCTTGTGACACAGGACAGGTGCCATGTGAGCCAAGGCGGCCGGCCCTTCTCAGAGCCACCTTGGTGTCTTCCAGGCAATCGTGAAGGAGTGCCCCCCCTCGGAAACAGAGGAGAGGAACAGGATTGCCGCTGCCATCTTCTACTCCCTCAGCCTGACCCAGCAGGGACTGCAAGGGGTGGAGCTGGGGACCTTCCTCATAAAGCGCGTGGTCAAGGAGCTGCAGGTGAGTGATCCTGGTGGGGGGGGGGGGGAGTCCTGATGGGCCTAGATCCTTCTCCTGTCTCTCAGGACCCAGGCTGAGAGAGCTGAAGGAAGGGAGGAGCAGAATAGTCCCAGGAGCCAGGAGACTGCGGGAGGTGGGAGCAGAGCTGAGAACAGGCATCCAGAGTGGCTTCTTGATGGGCTGCAGGTGCAGACAGTCGTGTTCTGAGGACCTGGCTCTCCAGGGAAGCCTTGCCTGGCTTGCCCCGCTGTGACTGCTCATGCTGTCACACACACACACACACACACGTCTGGGTGCCTCCTTCACTGTCAGCTGTCCCAGACCAGGTACCAGCACCGTCTTCCTAGCCATGCCTGACCTGTCCTGTCCCTGCCCACCCACACTCTCCAGGGCCTCTGACCCCTGACATCCCACCAGCGTGGGCTCTCTCGGGGTCTGTGAGAGTGCTAAGGTTAGACCAGGCAGCGTAGAGGTCAATGCTTTGGCTTGGTGTTGGTCTAATTCCCTTCTTCTTGTTGCCTGCAAAGGGCACCGGCTGTCCTATGGTGGACACACTCAGATGACCTCTGAGTGTAGCTTTTCAAAACTGTCTCTCAAGGGCTTGGGTGACCTCCAGTGAGTGGAATCTAGGTCTTAGGTTAAATGACTGGATTTCTAATGGCTCTGAGCACGCTGTCCTCTGCCTGGGTACTCTTTGCTCCAGCACAGGCTGTGGTGGCAGATGCTCTGCCTTCAAGGATGGCAGCTTGAAGTTAAATATTTTACACGCTTCATGCTACAGTCTTAGTCAGTTTTAATCTAAGAACTCAGCCTTCAGATTGGAACAGCTTCTTTATTGTCACTGTCTGCCACTTTTCCCCCAGAGGTGTTAACAAGCCACATATAATAATATAAGGTTTTTCTAGGCCCTTCTTCTTTGCTGTTGGTATTATGAGTAGGGCAACGAGGAGGACACTGAGGTAACGAGCCAGTAGCAGGGAGAGCAGAACCAGGGCTCTGGGTGATGCACCCAAGACTCCCCATGGTCTCGAAGCCACCTGACAGTAGTACTTAGGCACACTTGGCTGTGAGCCAAGGGTCCTCAGGGACTCTCCAGGGAAGCTGGTTCCCTTCTGCACAGAAGGTCTCACGGGGTTTATGAAAGCCCAACACTGGAGCACCCTTCAATGCCCAGAGAAGGGAAGACACTGCATAGTCTTACCTTTTAATATTATTCTGTCATTAAAATTGTATTTTTTAATTTCAAGTGACATTTAGAATGTTTGTGATATACTCTGTAACATGGAATGTAGGTTGAGTGTCTTGTCCCTGTAAACATGAGCAGAGACAGGCCAGGTGTGCGAGGCCATGTGGGGCCACTGAGAGTCGTGTCCTCAGAGTGCTGGAGCACCGTGGCTTGCTTCTCTTCTTTCATAAATTTTAAAGTTTTTTAAAAAAAATTTTTGTAGTTGTATGTGGGCAAAACACCTCCATTTTATTTGTTTATTTGTCTGTGGTGCTGAGAATCAAACCCGGCACCTCGCGCATGCTAGGCGAGCACTCTGTCACTGAGCCACTATCCCAGCTCCTCTCCAGCCCTTTCTGAATTTTTATTTTGAGACAGGGTCTTGCTAAGTTGCTGAGGGCCTAAGTTTCTGAGGCTGGCTTCGAATTTGCAAGCCTCCTGCCTCAGCCTCCTAAGTCTCTGGGATTACCAGTGTGTACCACCGTGCCTGGCTATCATTTTAATAATGACTGAACCAAGTTATGGTGACACACCCCACCTGCCCCTCCTGTCCCCCTAGTTATAGCTGGGCCACCACTTAGATGTCACTTGGTGCTTGTATACCAAGCGTCAGACTGGGCTCTGGGGCCACAGTGGTCTCCCAGGAGAGGGACATGGTGCAGTAGAAGGATGAGGTCTGTGGTCAAAAACTGGACCATGTTCCTCATGAAGGGGCTGTCCCTCGGATTTTATGCAAGCCCCCAATCCTGGCCTCTGTTTTGCAATGTGGCAAAAGGATGGATTGAAACCTGGCCTAGAGGCTTGCCTTGGGGTTTCAGATGCTTCTAGGGCCTGGCAGACACCAGCTTCCTAATGTACCTTGAAAGAAGAAAAATGTAGTAATGGACATCACATGTCACTCTGCCGATTGTGCAGCAGCGTTCAGAGCTGAGAGGAGTAGACAGTGGATGAGGGACCTCACACCACCTGCTGAACTGTGTGTTTTCTCTGCCTTCCTCTCACCCACCTGCTCGCAGAAGGAGTTTCCTCACCTGGGGGCATTTTCAAGCCTGTCACCTATACCTGGATTCACCAAGTGGCTTCTGGGGCTTCTGAACTCACAGACAAAGGAGCATGGGAGGAACGAACTGTTCACAGATTCAGAATGTAAAGAGATCACCGAGATCACTGGTGGCCCCATCCAGGAGACCCTCAAGGTCATGCTCAGCAGCAACGAGTGGGTGAAGTCGGAGAAGCTGGTGTGCGCGCTCCAGGCTCCCCTCATGCGGCTGTGTGCCTGGTACCTGTATGGTGAGAAGCACCGTGGCTTCGCCCTGAACCCTGTGGCCAACTTCCACCTGCAGAACGGGGCTGTGATGTGGCGCATCAACTGGATGGCTGACAGCAGCCTCAGGGGCCTCACTGGCTCATGTGGCCTCATGGTCAACTACCGCTACTACCTGGAGGAGATGGGCCCCAACAGCATCGCCTACCTGGGCTCCAAGAACATCAAAGCTTCTGAGCAGGTCCTCAGCCTGGTGGCCCAGTTCCAGAAAAATAGCAAGCTCTAGGCACCAGCCTCCACAGTTCAGATCCTGCTCAGAAAAAGGTGGTCTTCCTGATGGGTCAGGTTGCGGATCAGAAGGGCCTCTGAGGAAAACCACAGCTGTGCTGTGTGGCCTGCCCACAGCAGGGTGCCCCGCCAAGCCGTGCCCCAGCTGTCACTGTGCTGGTAAAGAAGCGCTGCCAGACGGAGGTGGCAGATGCAGGTGCTGAGGCCTCTGCTGCTGCCCAGGGCCAATCCTTGGGCCTTATAAGGACCAGGGCAGAAGGCCCCAGTGAGAATATAGTCTCCTTTGGAGCTTGTAGAGCATAACTGTAGCCATTTCTGTCCACTGGGTACAGGGGGATAAAGGGCTGAGCTACGTCTACCAGGGAAATTCTGAAGCTTGTGAAGGTATGGGACTTATGATTTGCACAGAATATAGTAAGTTAATCACTGAACACAGATGCTGCTGTCGAGGCCTCAGTTGGGGTGTAGCTTTCAAACTACCGTGATTCAAGTTCATAATGAACCGAATAGTAAAGAACAGGTTTGTTCTGTAAAGCTTTAAATGTGTTTACTTAATGGTGGTTGTCTTTAAGATTAGAGTCCTGGCCAGGCTGGACCAGCTCTGAGGTATCAGCTGTGCTATCCGTCTGAGCCAGCTGTGGGCAGCACGGTTGGGAGGGGCCTGGGAATGTGGGACCAGACTGCCATGTGGGAAGAGGCCGTCGCAGCCTGGGGGTGGGGGCTGTATCTGTGCTGGTCTGTGTCCCACGTCCGTGTGCACAGTGCCCTGGCTCTTCTCAGTTGAGCAGACAGGCCCCTGCCCTCCTTGCTCCTCTAGCCCACCGCAGGTCCTCTGTCAGCCCCACCTGGGTGTGTTGACAGCAGCAGATGGTGTGGTGGTGCACCCTGGGGGCAGCAGTCTGGTGCCACTGTGCCTTTTATAGCAGTATAAGAGCCCTGGGCTTTGGAGTGACTCACAGGCTTATCGTCCACAGTCCCTGGCATCTGCCGCCTCCTTCCTAAAGGCAGAATCCTCTACAGCAAAAGTCCCCAGCCCCTCCGTCACCTGTAAAGCTGCCTCTTCTCACCGTCATCCTTCCCTCAGCTTCTGGCTGAGGCCATGAAACCAGTGACCCATCCTACCCTCCACTCCAGATGCCACGGAGGGTCTCGGGTCGGGTTCCTGCTGGCTGCTTCCAGTGGTGTTGTCTCACCTGCCTGGTCCCGTTTCTCCTGTGTGAGAAGGAATAATGGCTGCATGGGGTGGGCTGTGGTGGCACTGCAGGGGCTTTGGCACACAAGGAAGTGTGTGAGTTAGCAGCTCAGTTCACCAGGAGGGGCTGCAGAGGGGGGCGGTGGGGCAGTGCTTTGGCCGTCCCCGCAGGCTACAGCCCCTGCCCTCCAGACGCGGGGGCCGCAGGCAGATCCAGCATCCAGTTCTTTTGAGTCATCGCAGAGGCAGGTGTTCTGACCTCCCTGGAGCTGCAGTGAGGGCAGCCACCATGCCAGGCTGGCACATACGTGGCACGGGGTTTTGCCACTCCAGAGCTCCCCTTGTGGCCTGAGGTGAGGCCAGCATCTCAGAATCCCCAGGCACAGAGGAGCAGCCCGAACTTGCTGCCTGTCACTGTCCTGCAGGGCCAGGAGCTGGCATGGCAGCACTGAGTGACAGGCAAGGCCAGACCTCACCCCTCCCCACAGCATGGGCCTCCTTCCCCCTCCCTGCCGAGGGGAACAGACACCCGCGCTGCAGCCCTCCCACAGCCTCACCCACAGCCAGTGGCCTTCTGCGCTCATCCTGCTCCCACTTCTCACCCTGTGTTTAGCTGATGCCAGGGAGGGCAGGAGACGAGCAGACAGACGGACACACTGACCTCCCTGGCCCCACTCTAATCAGTCATGGGAATGAGCCTGGAGAGCTGTTCCCCAGTCCTCACATCACCTGCATTACAAGAAAGCCCCCGGAACCCTGGACAGGCGGAGGCCTCTGGCTCCCCAACCCATCACAGACGGCCAGGCTGCCCCATTGTGCACCGCTCATCCTCACATAAGGCAGAGCAGAGCGCAGCCAGGTCGAAGGTGGCAAAAGGCTGGTGTTTTAAATTTGTGTTCCTCAGGCAAGTGCTACCCGGTGCCCAGGGACATTATTGCAAGGGGAACACAGAGGCTAAGAGTGCAGTCCCAGACCTGGTTTCCATTGCACTTGTTCTTGGGGACACTTTGACCAAAGTGTCTTCCTCTGCACAGCGCCTGGCAGAGTGACTGGTTCGTAGTAGGTACCCAATAAATTGTTGTCATTAGGAGTAATTTTCTATGCCCCGCATTCCAGGGTAAGTCCATACCTGCCCCTGCGAGGAGCCTGCTCCCTACAGCAGTTCCTCTCCCAGCCCAAGGTTCAGGCCCTGCACTCCCAAGCCTCTCTCTGGTCCTGTCTGGGGACCGTCCTGCTGCCCTCAGTGTGCTGTGTGCCCTCCATCCGGTCCTCGAGGGTTTCCTCAGCCTTGTCCTCCTGGGATTCAGATTTAAGGGGTGCTCGTGGACTTGGGGGTACCTGACTTATTCATAGCCCCCTTTTTCCTGGAAAAGGCAGCACACGGCAATGGCAGAGGACTTTGGCTCCAGCCAGTGCACCCCAGCTGGGCACCCCAGCTCTTCACTCCCTCACGTGCTTTCTTCAGTTTCCTCGATCTTAGCAGGGTGGCCAGGGCACCTCCCTCGCGGAGGAGCTCCATGGGACGATGTATAGAAAGCCTTCATGACACCTGCCTCACGAGCACACCTGCCGTGGTCACTGCAAACAGCCCTTCCCCTGGACTTCAGGGGCCATAGTGACACCCAGAGGAAGCTTCTGGGCCCTGCTCCCTTTGTTTGGATATTAAAATGTTGGTTCCCGGCTGTCCCTCACAGTGGCTGTGCGTGGCTTCAGCAGCTCCTTCCTGGTCTCCTCTGCACTGCTCTGCAACCCGATGCCTCAGGCAGCCCGAGTCTGCTTCTGAGTGTCCCTGTCAGTCTCCCTGTTCCCTCCTTCCTTCCCCGAGGGTGTGGCCTTCATCCAGGCCAAGCACCAGGAGTTGATAGCTGGGTCCTCTCTCTGCCTGGAGGTGGGGACATCTGTGCACGAAGGGTCTGCTTCTGCTCTGTATGGGTGGAAGTGGGGATGGGGCTGGAGGTTTTGGTAAGCTTCAGCTTATTCCCAGCTTTATTTAAAGTTAAGCACAAAGTGTGTTTAAGATTCAAATGCAGTGAACCAATCTCTCTCTCTCTCTCTCTCTCTCTCTCTCTCTCTCTCTCTCTCTCTCTCTCTATTTTTAATTGGATTTTGAGGCATTCGTTGGACTATGAAGTCCATTTTGATCTCTTGTTAGAAACAAAGCTGCCCAATGATTTCTGTTCACCACAGAAAATTTCTGCTTTGTTGGCAGTTTAGCCAAATTGAGGTGACCCCAGATCTTTGTCACCTTTGTCTTGTTTTGTTCCATTTGCATTTATCACCTTGCCCCTCTTGACCATCACAGGAGGAGTGGGGAGAGGAGAAACATCCATGGGTCTCTGCTCACACATTCCTGGTCTCCAGACCGCCTCCCTTCCCTAGAGCCTCATTCCGTCCGTGTTCCACCCCAGCCAGAGAGAGCCCCCTCATTCACAGATGAGGGCTGAGCAACTGGAGAAGGTGGGGCGGGGACTCAAACCCAGGCCCACCAACACCCAGCCCTCATCCATTCTGCCACCTGCCTTCCTGTGGAAGGGGAACTGAACAGGGCCCAGGCCCTAGGAGAATCCCCCCAGCAGAGAGACTCAACCAGCCCCTCACTCTGGCAAGAACAAAGGAGAGTAAGGTCCCAGAGCAGCCAGACCAGACCAGGATAACCAAGGCAGGGACTGCAGAATGTGCCACCCTGGCAAGGGGGGTACTCAGAAGGACTGCCCTATGGGAGGGGCCTCCCTGAAATCCAAGCATATGCAGCAGTTGCTGTAGTGCCACCAGGGACAGAACTCAGCTCCAGCTGGTTCAGGGTCCAACAGAGGGAACATGGCACAGAAAATCTAAGGCATAAGACCCCAGTCCAGTGGGACACCCAAGCTCAGGAAGAGTGGGAGCCAGGCCCCTGGCCACCTCAGCTGTGGCCCCATTCTTACCAAAGGAAGCAGGGGCAGCCTCCACCTTGCCTGACCCTCACGGTCCAGGCTCTGCCTTGTCCAAGGTAGAAGCAGTGCTGACCATCAGAGGGTGATCTGCAGGTGGGATTGGGCTCTGGGGTCCTCTGGATGGAAGCAGTTGCTCTCTGGGGCGTTGGGTGGAGCAGCTAGCGTCCACTCTTCGGGTTGAGGAGAGGAGAGAAGTGGCCCAGGCAGTCCCTAGGAAGGAGGGAGGTGGAATGGGCATCTCACCCCAGAGGAGAGCTCTACCTACACCTGTGGCGAGGCTGGAACCACCTGTCAAGTCTGCCACTGTGAACCTCTGCAGTGCCTGGCACGTGGCAGGGGCTTGGTAAATGTCTTTGATCCACTGAAGCAATGCTGTCCCCACTCCTGCTGTCCCAACAGCTCATCCTGGACATGATTTGATCCCTTCAAGACAACTTGGTGTAAGGGAGGGGGAGAGGCCCAGCGCTCTTCTCATGGGAGGCATGAGGCTCGGGGTGCTGCTCCGAGGTGGGGGCCATTTGCCCTCTCTCTCCCTCCCCTTCCCCAGGAGACCACTGACATGGCTCATGATGCCACCTCTTCTCAGCAGCTCTGCTGAGGCCCCCAGTGCCCTCCAAGGGCTAACCCAGCCAGGTGCCTTCTCCAGGGCGGCCCTCTGCCAGGGACGTGCCCACAGGTATTCTGCTCTGCTTGGCCAGCCACCCTTCAAGGCCTGTCCCGGAGTTCCCTTTCTTCCCTAGAGAAGCTCATCTGCTTCCAGGTCTTCCCTGGCCACCTGCACATGAAGGGCAAGAGTGACCCCTCCCCTTCTGCCGGGGACAGCCCCCATCTGCGGCACAGTTCTCGTGGCACAGTTGCTAAAGCTTTCCTACTCGGAAGCCGGTCACTTAGACACACACCATCCCTCAGCTGCCCTTCACTGGGCACTGTTCATGGTGGACATCGTGCAGCTCACTCAGACCCCACCAGTCCTCTCCCCACCTGAGGATGAGGACTCCGAGGCCCAGGGGGCTGAGGGGGCTGTCCTGGGAGCAGCAGCTGGGCAGTCCCCACTCTTACACTGCTGCCAAGGGGCCTGAAACCCTATCAGGAAGTTCCCTTTAAACACCAAGGGAAATTGAAAAGACGGACTTCTCTTCTCAGTAGCCCCACTTCTCTCAAGCAATGAAAGTGTCCCCATGTCCCCTGGTGGGGGCTGCCCAGCTGTGAACCCAGGCCTGAATGACTGTCACTTGGGGCCCACTGGTTCCCATCCTGTGAATGCCACTGTTCATGGCCACCTCTCCTGGGGCTGCAGCATCTAATGAGATGGCACAACACCTGCCCACAGTGACCTCAGTGGGACAGCTCAGATGGCAGCGGGTCCTGGTCTGCATTCATCCCAGGTGCCGTCCACCCGTTGCCACTAGATGGTGCTGCTGCCAGCCTCCTCTTGAACTGGGAGTTAATGCTAACTTTGTTTGTGGTGCTGCAGATGGAGCCAGGGCTTTGGGGGCAGGCGCTTCACTGCTGAGCTGCACCCCCAGCCCTACAGCTGAGCTCCCAACAGGTGACACATCCATCCAGGCCCTAAACCTGTGCCCAGAGCTGCCCCAGCTCCCAGTTATCCCGTAGGACTAAGTAACGGCTCAGAGCTGCACAAGCCTGCAGTGTCCCCTCATTCCCAGGGCTTGCCCGGCTCCTCCCGCCCTTCAGTCAGGCCTGTGCTCAGCTCTATTTGCCGCTCTTCACAGTGTAGCAGGCCTTCGGATCCACAGCTGTCCCGGAGCACACCCATCCCGCACCCCGTCCCTCTGTGGGTCTTGGCTCAGGCTGACGGGACCTAAGTGGTTAGGCCAGGAGCCCAGATCACAGACCCCAATCCCAACAGACTCAGGGGCTGTGGTTCCCAAACACCAGTCCTCTGCTGACCGTCACTGCAATCTTTTATATCACTCCCATAAATAAGAATGCCATGTCTTGTCATTGAGTAGAATTTAAGAGTAAAAAATATATGAAAAAACAACCAATGTCAGTGAATTTTAGTTAGATACAGTTGCTTTCTCTTTCAAATAAATGGGGGAGGAGATTAATATATGTTAGAAATATTTAAAATATACTAAGCTCCCACTGACACCAGTCAAGCCCAGAGCACTCATGCCTCTTGCTAATGTCCTTGAAACAAGGCCACCACAAAGGTTGGTGCAGTGTGCCACCAACAGTGGGGATCAAGCTTCAGAGAGGAGCGGGGGTAGGGGTGGCTACAGAGGCTAGGTGAGAGGAAAGGCATGTCGTGGAATGGTCAGGTCCTTCCCTTTGGACAGCAGGGACCCAAGGGATCCCTGCGTGAGAGGTTGGAGCGTCCCAGGGGGCCAGTCAATTTTGTGAGTTGATGTGCCCACACTCGGTCCGTTACTCAGGCAGGAACCGCCGGCCCCTCCACAGCACCCTCATCACAGGTGACATCGTGCTGCCAGGCTGTCCAGCCGTGCCATTACAAAGCAGGAGAGAGGCTGGGACGCGTCTCATTAGAACCCTGGTGTGGGCTGGGCGTGATGGCGCACACCTGTGATCCCAGAGACCTGGGAGCCTGCGGCCTGCACAGCTCAGCAAGACCCCGTCTCAAACTAAAAAGTTACAGCGCTGGAGACGTAGCTGAGGTCGAGAGCCCCGGGTTCAATCCCCAACGCCAAAAAAAGGAACCCTGACACGGATCAGGTCCTTATGCTGCCCTCGGGAGCCACGGAGCCATTACTGAATTCACAATAAATAATGCACTGATTGTAGTTATTTTTTAAAGTAATTTTTCTTTTTTTAATCTTTTTTTATTTTTTTAGTTTTCGGTGGACACAACATCTTTATTTTTTTTTTTATGTGGTGCTGAGGATCAAACCCAGCGCCTCGCCCATGCCAGGCAAGCGTGCTGCCACTTGAGCCACATCCCCATCCCAAAAGTAAAGTAATTTTTCTAATTACAATTTTTCAGATTGCCATTCCAAATGGCCACTTGGTAAACAAGGTTTTGGACAAAACACGTGGCAGGAACTTCCTGGTGGCCAGGGTGCCCTGGAGGGGGCAGCTCCTCTTCCTGCCCCTCCAGTCTTGCTTCTGCTCGGGGCAGCTGCTGTGGAGATCTTAAGCTCAGAGCTTCTTGGGAAGAGCCCTGACGGTGCGGCTCCTCCCACAGCTGTCTGGAAGGGTCCAGTGAGCACAGACGCTCGCCCTTGCCCAGGCGGGCTGCAGAGGCGTCCTCCTGAGCAGGCCAGGCCAGCCGCTGGAGCCACCCCTGCGCTGCCCCTGCAGACCCTGCTAGACCCTCTAGCCATGTTCTGACATCACCGGGCTCCTCCTCCCGGGGTTGGTGGAGCAGCTCTCTTGTTTACACTGGGGTCGGAGGCTTCCCTGGGGGTGGCTGAGCTGGCAGCCACCTGGGGAGCAGGACTCAGCTGCTCAGTGGCACTGCACACCGGCAGCTGTCAGGAGTAGAGTCACAGTGACTCAGAGAATGCCGGCCCTGCACCAGGCCCTGGGACATCTGGGCAGGGGTCCCCTCCCTCAAGAAGGGTTCACTCAGTCCCTGCAGGCCAGCAGTGTCTGGTCCTCATGCCTTGGGAAGGATACCATCAGCCACCATCTCAGCTGGTTCCTAAGTCCCAGAGAACGCATGGAGAAGTCTGGGTCCAGCAGGGCCATGGGGAGGCCCCCGGTCTCCCCGTCCCACCGGCCTGCAAGCTGGGCTTGCACAGTTCACTTGGGGGTTTAGGGAACAGACATCCCACTCCTCAGAGCCCTGTCCCTCCTTCTCCCTGACCCCCACCTCAGGGGTCCCGGTGCTGAGTGGCGCCAGTGGAGCAGGAAGGCAGATGTGTAGACACCGTCTCCCAGACCTACTAGGCCTCCTGTAGGCGCAGAGCTAAGAACCCTCACAGGCAGCACAGCAAGAGAGCCGGAGCCCCACTGGCACCACAAGGGACCCTGGGCCACAGCACTCAGCTGCTGCCATCATCTCCACACTCCTCCTCCCCCTTTCCTTCTCTCCCCTCTTCCTCTCTCTCCTCCCCCCCCCTTGCTGGCCTTCTCTTGCTACATGCTGTCCCTGCAGCGCAGCCTGGGACGTGGGCACAGGTGAGGCCCCCACGTGAGCCTTTGGCAAGCAGGCGGTGGCTCTGGGCCCACAATGGCAGTGTGGCTCCCAGGCCAGGGTCTCAAGTGCCCGACTGCAAGCGTCCCACCTGGCCCTCGCCTGGGACTCATTCAGCAAGGCGTTCCCGCTCTCCAGGCCCCACCACTGAGGCAGCAGCTGTCCTGGGGGAGCCACGGCAAGAAAGAGCAGGCCCAGCAGGCCCCAGCATGGCCTCAGAGGCTGCCCCATGACCAGACACCCAGGCCAGTCCAGGCCAGGACTTTGTGATGCGACAAACAGGCCAGCCTGGTCCTTTGTCCCCTGGCTTCCCTGTGGCCACATCCGGGGGGGAGGTCCCCTGGGGGACAGCCAGCTCCACTGTGCTTGCACCTCCTGCACCAGCTGGTTGCCTCCACAAGCCTGTTCGTCACCAGGTAAGGAGACCATGTGGGAGGGGCGTTGGGGTCTGGGGTGGGGACCTAGCTGACTATAGAAGAGGGGACTTTAGGAAGGTGGGGGCCTGGCCCTCTGGCCCTGGAGCAAAGAGAGCTAAGCTTATGGCCACTCGAGAGTCAGCTGCCTGGACACGAAGTTATCTCTGGAGGGTGCCACGCTCCTGAGGCCTCCATCTCCCTGGCAGTGACATGGGCTCCCTAGGACCCTCTGGGAGGGACGCTGAAAGGGAAAGTGAGCCTCCCCACAGAGGCCCTAGCACAACCTCACACACAGAACTGCTCGAAGCACGGTGGCCATTGTCCTCGGGCCTGGAACTGACCACTGCTGGCTCCCATCTCTCAGGCCACCAGCCCCTGGCTGAGTCCCCAGCCCCAGGCCTCCTCAGGGAGCAGCCATCACCTGCTCCCCGCCCACCTGTCATGAGCCTTTGGCAAGCAGGCGGTGGCTCTGGGCCCACAACGGCAGTGTGGCTCCCAGACCAGGGTCTCAAGTGCCCAACTGCAGGCGTCCCACCTGCGTCCTGACAGCCAGGACTGGTCTCCCTGCTCATGCCTCTACCTTCCGGCAGCTCAGGCCCCAGCTAGAGGCCCACCTGAGGTTTTCCCACTCCGCCTGGGGTCCCTAGGAGACCCTCTTGTGCCCCGGGGTGGGAGTCACATGCTGGGACTGAGCCACA